GATGACCCACAGCTGGAGCTTTTGGTTATCTGACCGAGGCCTTCCGCTGGGTTACCGGTCCACCTCTTTATAAATTAGGGTTATTAGCATCTTCTGAACGATGACAAATTAAATCAACCTTACTGTAAAGAAAACATTCTTTATAATATCTGGAAATAAATAATGTCGTAAAATAACCAAGCAGATAGTAAAGGCAAAAAGACTCGACCTTATCTTCACAAATAATCAGGACCTGGTAAGAAATATAACAATATCAAAAACAACTAATTCCGATCACAATCTAATCGAAGTTCAGACTTACATGCACAGGAGTCCTGATCAGCAAAATGTACGTAGTTGTGAAGGTGTCTTCACCAAATATAACTTCAACAAGAACATCAACTGGGACCAGGTAAACCATGTCTTAGATGAAACATGTAGGGAAGATATCTTAAATAACATGGGTCAAAACCAGTGCCTTGAAAGGATCAACTTCCTGGCAGCTGAAGTATGTTCAAGGCATATTACCCTACGAAAGAATGGAAATAAGTCACTCTGTCTGACTTTTTTGGGTTATCCTAGGTTCTCTACACATATGCTGCTATGTATGATAATTCTATGTAACTGTATTTGTGTATACCTGAATAAATTTACTTACTTACTTACTTACTTAGGAGCAGACTGGAGAAAGACGCTCCTTCTACAGAAGACGAAGAATCACTAAGCTCCTCAAGAACACTAGATTATCTGGTATACGGAAGGAAGCGCTGACCTGGGAAGTAGAAAGTATCGAACTTAAGTTAAAGAATTCATACAGGATCCAGTAAAGACAGGAGGAGCTTAAAGCGATTAATGAAATTGAAAAAAAAAATTGAAATATTTCTTTTCATATGCAAAAAAACAAGGCAAAACCCACATCTAGTATCGGCCCCTTGCTCAGACAAGATGGGAATTACACAGATGACATCAAATACAACTCTGTGTTTACCAAGCCATTAGTTAGTCTAAAGATCAACAATCCACATGATTTTTTTCATGAATGAGCCTCAAAACTCCATCAATGTATGCCAAATTTCTGACATTACCCTAACTCCAATAGACTTTGAGAAAGCCATTAACAACATGCCCATGCACTCAGCCCCGGGCCCAGACTCGTGGAACTCTGTGTTTATTAAGAACTGCAAGAAACCCCTCTCACGTGCCCTAAGTATACTATGGAGAAGGAGCTTAGACATGGGTGATTTTCAGTCACTAAAAACAACGGATATAGCCCCCACTCCATAAAGTTGGCAGCAAAACATTAGTTAAGAACTATAGACCAATAGCTCAAACGTCGCACATCATAAAAATCTTTGAAAGAGTTCTAAGAAGCACGATTGCAAACCACTTGGATTCCCCAAAACTGCACAATCCAGGGAAACATGGGTTCAGGGCCTCTCACAATTACAGGATCACTACGATATGGTCTTGGATGCACTGGAGGAAAAACAGAATGGAGATGTAATATACACAAACTTTGCAAAAACCTTTGATAAGTGCGATCATGGTGGAATAACGCACAAAATGCGTGCTATAGGAATAACTGGCAAAGTGGGGAGATTGATCTTCAACTTTCTAACCAATCGAGAAACAAAGAGTAGCGGTAAACAGAGTTAAATAGGAAGCTGCCATAGTGAAAAGCTCTGTTCCACAAGGCACAGTACTCACCCCCATCTTGTTCCTCATCTTCATATCAGACATAGACAGAGATGTAATACACAGCACCGTATCATCCTTTGCATACGATACTAGGATCTGCACGAGACTCATCTATTGAGGACGCGGTTAACCTCCAAGAAGATATAAACTAAATTTTCCAATGGCAACGGAAAACAATATGATGTTCAATGAAGACAAATTCCAACTACTTCATTATTAAAAACTGGAGGAGATAATAATCAGAACTGAGTATGCTACAAACTAATCATACAATAGAGCGAAAAAATAATGTGAGGGACCTGGGAGTGGTAATGTCTGAGGATCTCACTTTTAAAGATCACAACAGTGCCACGATCACAACTGCGAAGAAAATGATAGGATGGATAATGAGAACGTTCAAAACAAGAGATGCCAAGTCAGTGATGATCATTTTTAAATCACTTGTTCTCTCTAGACTGGAATACTGCTGTACATTAACATCGCAGTTCAAAGCAGGTGAAATTGCAGATCTAGAGAGTGTGCAGAGAACCTTTTCTGCACATATAAGTTCTATCAACCACCTCAACTACTGGGAATGCTTGGAAGCACTTGGCTTCTACTCACTGGAACGCAGGCGAGAGACATATATCATAATCTACACTTCGAAAATTCAAGAAGGGATGGTCCCGAATCTGCACAGAGGTTAGGTTAGGTAAGGTTAGGTAAGGTTCGTCAGGAAACAGGACAAATGTTTCCTGACGCGGGTCTTAGTCAGATGATGACCCGCCTTTGGAGCTTTGGTCATCTGACCGAGGCCTTCCGCTGGCTTACCGGTCCACCCCTTTAAAAATTATAGTCATTTATAACCATGTACGTTGTGATGATTCTATTCACACAGAGTAAAAGACTGGGCAGGCGATGCAAAATACCCCCAGTGAAAAAGTAGGGGCACCATTGGTACACTAAGAGAAAACAAATTAAGTGTCCGGGGCCCAAAACTGTTCAACAGCCTCCAACCAGCCATAAGGGGAATTACCAATAGGCCCCTGGCTGCTTTCAAGAGGGAGCTCGATAGATACTTAAAGTAGGTGCCGAATCAGCCGGGCTGTGGTTCATACGTTGGACTACGTGCGGCCAGCAGTAACAGCTTGTTTGATTAGGCCCTGATCCACCAGGAGGCCTGGTCGTGGACCGGGCCGTGGGGGCGTTGATCCCCTGAACACCCTCCAGGTAGACTCCATGTAAGTCAAAATTAATTAATCCGAAGTAGAGAAAAATGGTGATGGATTTATTCTTATGTTTGCTCGTAAATTAAAATAAATTAAAAATTAACGCTTATATCCAGATAATTTTTTTTAAAGTATAAAAACAGTAGTAACACTTTTCAAAACTGTCTGTTATGTTGCCGTTAATATTAGTAACATTCTACTTCTCTCTCACTTACCACTACATCAACAATGGATTTAATACTTGAGTTCCACCTCACTTGTCCACCTCAAACCAATTCTCACGCAACAAAATTCAGCTAACACAACCAACACAAACTCAGAATTCAGGCAACACACTATATTCTTGGAAATAAATGGTATAAAATACCGACACAATGGAAATATAAACACATATGCAGTATAATGTGATCCTTTATTGACTACGTTTCGCCCACACAGTGGGCTTTTTCAAGTCACAAACAGAACTACAGTTCTGTTTGTTAGGTAAGACACATATGCAACAGTTAGGTATCTTTATTTCGAAACGTTTCGCCTACACAGTAGGCTTCTTCAGTCGAGTACAGAAAGGTTGATAGAAGCAGAAGATACTTGAAGACGATGTAATCAGTCCATCACCCTTAAAGTTTTGAGGTGGTCAGTCCCTCAGTCTGGAGAAGAGCATTGTTCCGTTGTCTGAAACAATATTGTTTCAGACAACGGAACAATGCTCTTCTCCAGACTGAGGGACTGACCACCTCAAAACTTTAAGGGTGATGGACTGATTACATCGTCTTCACATCTCACTGTTCCTGCCTACTTTCTGTACTCGACTGAAGAAGCCTACTGTGTAGGCGAAACGTTTCGAAATAAAGATACCTAACTGTTGCATATGTGTCTTACCTAACAATCTGTCGGTATTTCATACCATTTTAATGTTCAGTTCTGTTTGTGACTTGAAAAAGCCCACTGTGTGGGCGAAACGTAGTCAATAAAGGATCACATTATACTGCATATGTGTTTATATTTCCACACTATATTCTTATTTAAATCCCTAAAGCTACTGAATATATATGCCATATATACTACTGTTCACTCCACAATATCAAAACTCTACACTAATTCTGACGCTGACCTGCGACATTATCTGGCAACTTCTACACAACACTCAACCATCACATACCAAACAAATATCTATTTGATATTCCTTTATTTGCCCTGAAAATGGCCAAAAATGTGGAATAACTTACCAGATGAGTTAAAAAAAAATGTAACTTAATGAATTCGAAGAAAAATTTATAAAAATATGGACTTACATTTCTATCAAACAATTGTATTCAATGCGATATAATTAGTTTAAGTAAATGACTTACAAAATCGTAATGACACGATTGTAATCACACCAGAGTACTGATAAAGCTGGGTTTGATTGGTGTCAAGAGGTACGGGAGTTATTTCTTGAGTAGCTTTAGGTAGATGTCGTTTTGATAAGGACCTGCCTCGTATGGGCCAGTAGGCCTTCTGCAGTGTTCCTACATTCTTATGTTCTTATGTTCTTAAGTGAGTCGTAAAACTCAAGGCCAGCGCGTAAACCACTGGGCCAGCTGGCCTGAAATTTTACGACTCACCGTCCGCGAGTTCAGGCCCCACCCGTACCTTGTTAGTTTAAGTATAGATTAATAGTGTTTTCATGTATTGTTCCAGTAACAATATCTGTCTCAGAGTCATATAAACCTTGGTAGGTAAGACACATAGGCAACAGTTAGGCAACTTTATTCCGAAACGTTTCGCCTACACAGTAGGCTTCTTCAGTCGAATACAGAAAGTAGGCAGGAACAGTGAGATGTGAAGACGATGTAATCAGTCCATCACCCTTGAAGTTGTAGAATTTGAGGTTGTCAGTCCTTCTCCAGGCTGAGGGACTGACAACCTCAAATTCTACAACTTCAAGGGTGATGGACTGATTATATCGTCTTCACATCTCACTGTTCCTGCCTACTTTCTGTATTCGACTGAAGAAGCCTACTGTGTAGGCGAAACGTTTCGGAATAAAGTTGCCTAACTGTTGCCTATGTGTCTTACCTACCAACCTGTCGGTATTGTGTACCATTTTGATGTTCATATAAATACCTTGGACAGATCCTGACGATGTCTTCATAGTTCGCCTTCCTAAGAATTACCTAGGGCCTGCTCCTGTGTTTAAACATCAGGTTTTGGGTGGATATTCACTTGATGAAGACAAGAATCTGAGATTCGATCAATCTAGCCTCAGGTTCCTGGACAGAAAATACTTGCCCACACATGGACAACTTAAGGTAAGCTAATTAAAATTTATTATAAATATCTTTGTATTTTCTTTTTGTTATCAATGAAGACAGAAATAATTAAGGTAGAGGAATTTATCATATAAACTCTTCTTAAACAACTCTCTCGATCGCTAGCGCACCCAGCTCATATACTGAGTGGAAATATTGGGACGTGTTTCCTTAAGACACCTGCTGTCCATGTTCACCTAGCAGTTAGTAGGTACCTGAGCATTAGTCGACTAGTGTGGGTCGCATCCTGGGACAAAATTTACCTAATTTGCCCGAAATGCTCTGCATAACATGTTATAGAAGCCGGCTTTTATAACATAGCTGAACCCCTTGCCAAGAAACTTCATTGTTATCCCACATAAGAATATAAGAATGGAGGGACACTGCAAAAAGTCTACTCATATACTTGTCCAATCTCTTTCTAAAGCTACCCGAGGTCCTAGCCTCTATCACCCTACTCGGAAGATTGTCACGTGCAGGTTCAGATCCAACCTACACAGCATTCTCCACAGATCACCCAGGTAGATCTGTTTGTGTGTGGAAAAAGACACTTATGTACAGTTCAGGACATTTATTAAAGGAAACGTTTCGCCACGAGTGGCTTCTTCAGTCCTAATACAGAGAAAACTAAGAAAACACACATATATATAGTGGCGGGAGTCAGGTGAGGTGATGCGTGGGTAGAGGTGGTAGTAGTAGTAGTAGTAGTAGTAGTAGTAGTAGTAGTAGTAGTAGTAGTAGTAGTAGTAGTAGTAATGGAACTAAGGAGGTGAGGCTACAGAGGGACGTGCTGGCATCAAGTAACACCAGTTCTCAGGATGGGTAATATCCTCTTGCTTAGTAATTTTGAAATACTGTAACTACCGGATTTTTGCTTTATAGTGTTACTGACAGAAATTAGTGCAGCTTCAATGCATTTTCTCCGTCTTAAGTCGTCTTCTTAAATAACTAGTTTAGCTTCACTGAATTTCATGAGGTGTCCAACATCGTCTCTATGTTGAACACATGCGTTTTTGCGGTCATCATTTCTGGTAGTTACAGCATTTCAAAATTACTAAGCAAGAGGATATTACCCATCCTGGAAACTGGTGTTACTTGATGCCAGCAGGTCCCTCTCTTGCCTCACCTCCTTAGTTCCATTACTACTACTACTACTACTACTACTACTACTACTACTACCTCGACCCACGCATCACCTCACCTGACTCCCGCCACTATATATATATGTGTGTTTTCTTAGTTTTCTCTGTATTAGGACTGAAGAAGCCACTCGTGGCGAAACGTTTCCTTTAATAAATGTCCTGAACTGTACATAAGTGTCTTTTTCCACTCTTGTCGGTTATCACCATACAATTTCATAGATCTGTTTGTGACTTGTAAAGCCACTGTGTGAGCGGAAACGTTGGATCAATGAGGTTTACAATTATATTGCACTTGTGTCATTTTCCATTGTTGCAGTATTTATCCCAAATTTACGTTCACGAGCGGAAACTTGGTATCTTGATACTATAAACGTTTCGCCATGCTGTGGGCTTATCAAAACCATATGGGCATAATCTGAAGACTGTTGAAATATATGCATGAGACAGTCTTCAGATTATGTCCTTGTATTGTACTGATAAAGCCACTGGATGGCGAAACGTCTATATGTAAAGATGCCCAGATGTTGCACATATGTCTTGTTTTTTATCTTGTTAGTATAGCATAGTATACCACTGATATGCAAGGGTTTCCTTGTTGTTAAGGGTGATTAAAGCTCAAAGCCCTAGAGTCTATACAACTAAAGAGTTTTTATTGTTGTTGCAGCACAGAGATGCGACATTAAGGTTCCCTATCGACTCTTCCCTCACTGGGGTTTGACTTGAGTAACATTCTGTATATATGTGCAGTATACCTGGGTCAACGCCCCCTTGGCCCTGTCCTCGTGGTGGATCAGGGCCTGATCAACCACCCTGTTAATGTCATATTTAAGAAGCCAGTTTGATTTTTTGAATTTACAACTGCAAGTTGTTCAGTTGAATATCAGTAAAAAAATTGAAATAGATATGTATTTTCTAAGAGTTTAAAACAAAAAATTCCAACAGGTGAACTTGGATCTCAATGCAGGGTTTGCGAAGGCTTCTCGGTATAGTGGAAGCATCGAGCAAACTTTTCACAGCTTTCTGCGGTGGATACTCTCCAACAAAGAAGTACTGATGACTGAGACTACTCCTCCAAGGTGAGCACTGATGACTGAGACTACTCCTCCAAGGTGAGCACTGATGACTGAGACTACTCCTCCAAGGTGAGCACTGATGACTGAGACTACTCCAAGGTGAGCACTGATGACTGAGACTACTCCTCCAAGGTGAGCACTGATGACTGAGACTACTCCAAAGGTGAGCACTGATGACTGAGACTACTCCTCCAAGGTGAGCACTGATGACTGAGACTACTCCTCCAAGGTAAGCACTGATGACTGAGACTACTCCTCCAAGGTGAGCACTGATGACTGAGACTACTCCTCCAAGGTGAGCACTGATGACTGAGACTACTCCAAGGTGAGCACTGATGACTGAGACTACTCCTCCAAGGTGAGCACTGATGACTGAGACTACTCCAAGGTGAGCACTGATGACTGAGACTACTCCTCCAAGGTGAGCACTGATGACTGAGACTACTCCAAGGTGAGCACTGATGACTGAGACACTCTCCAAGGTGAGCACTGATGACTGAGACTACTCCTCCAAGGTAAGCACTGATGACTGAGACTACTCCTCCAAGGTGAGCACTGATGACTGAGACTACTACTCCAAGGTGAGCACTGATGACTGAGACTACTCCTCCAAGGTGAGCACTGATGACTGAGACTACTCCTCCAAGGTAAGCACTGATGACTGAGACTACTCCAAGGTGAGCACTGATGACTGAGACTACTCCTCCAAGGTGAGCACTGATGACTGAGACAACTCCTCCAAGGTGAGTACTGATGACTGAGACTACTCCTCCAAGGTGAGCACTGATGACTGAGACTACTCCAAGGTGAGCACTGATGACTGAGACTACTCCAAGGTGAGCACTGATGACTGAGACTACTCCTCCAAGGTGAGCACTGATGACTGAGACTACTCCAAGGTGAGCACTGATGACTGAGACTACTCCTCCAAGGTGAGCACTGATGACTGAGACTACTCCTCCAAGGTAAGCACTGATGACTGAGACTACTCCTCCAAGGAGAGCACTGATGACTGAGACTACTCCTCCAAGGTAAGCACTGATGACTGAGACTACTCCTCCAAGGTGAGCACTGATGACTGAGACTACTCCTCCAAGGTAAGCACTGATGACTGAGACTACTCCTCCAAGATGAGCACTGATGACTGAGACTACTCCTCCAAGGTAAGCACTGATGACTGAGACTACTCCTCCAAGGTGAGCACTGATGACTGAGACCACTCCAAGGTGAGCACTGATGACTGAGACTACTCCTCCAAGGTGAGCACTGATGACTGAGACTACTCCAAGGTAAGCACTGATGACGGAGACTACTCCTCCAAGGTAAGCACTGATGACTGAGACTACTCCAAGGTGAGCACTGATGACTGAGACTTCTCCTCCAAGGTGAGCACTGATGACGGAGACTACTCCTCCAAGGTGAGCACTGATGACTGAGACTACTCCTCCAAGGTGAGCACTGATGACTGAGACTACTCCTCCAAGGTAAGCACTGATGACGGAGACTACTCCTCCAAGGTGAGCACTGATGACTGAAACTACTTCAAGGTGAGCACTGATGACTGAGACTACTCCTCCAAGGTGAGCACTGATGACGGAGACTACTCCTCCAAGGTGAGCACTGATGACTGAGACTACTCCAAGGTGAGCACTGATGACTGAGACTACTCCAAGGTGAGCACTGATGACTAAGACTACTCCAAGGTGAGCACTGATGACTGAGACTACTCCAAGGTGAGCACTGATGACTAAGACTACTCCAAGGAGAGCACTGATGACTGAGACTACTCCAAGGAGAGCACTGATGACTGAGACTACTCCAAGGTGAGCACTGATGACTGAGACTACTCCAAGGTGAGCACTGATGACTGAGACTACTCCAAGGTGAGCACTGATGACTAAGACTACTCCAAGGTGAGCACTGATGACTAAGACTACTCCAAGGAGAGCACTGATGACTGAGACTACTCCTCCAAGGAGAGCCAACCATACCGTACACAAATAATATATTCCATAGTTCAGATTAAAAAAAATATAGCAGGAAGAGTATTTTTCAGGAATGTGTATTTATTCCTTAAAATAATTAAATTAACCGTGGATACTAAACAGATTAATTTATTTAGCAAGGTCAAATTAATAGTTACATTTGATTTGATGGTGTCTGTGTTTGCTTGAATCAAATCAACTCACTTGTGTTATTAGTTGTAAATTCGCTATGTTACATATTCTTTCCCCTAAATGTACGCATCTGGCTGTTATCAATCATATAATATATAGAATCTTTATTTCTACTAGTATATGTACAAGGTAAACAGAACTAAGATGATATCATATAGAAAGCCGCTTGTTATGCAGAGCATTTCGGGCAAACTAGGTCAGTTTTGTCCCAGGATGCGACCCACACCCGTCCACTAGCACCCAGGCAGCCATTATTACTGATGGGTGAACATGGACAACCAGTGTACGGAAACACGCCCAATGTTTCCAACTTTTGCCGGGAATCAAACCTGGATCCTGACCGTGTGAAGCGGGAGCTTTAGCCACGGAACGGGTGAAGTATGAACCCATGGCAAGTAAGTGCTACAACCCTGAGACCAGTAATCAATACAAAATTTTTTGGATCAGATATATAGATAATTTGATTTCGAATTAAAAAAAATATTTGCCATCTTAATAACTCTCTGAAGATTCATTATTTTCTTCCTAATTTACCACATTTTCCATTACACAAAACGTAATTTTTCTCTAAAAATCAAGTTCTGAATTATTGTTACTTTAATGCGTTCAAATTTAAAATATTACTATGGAAATTTGTACCCTTTAGATGTTTATATAACCCGATGTTCTCTGTTGAACCCACAAAAATACTTACATACTTCTATGATAATAAAACAAAAATAGTAATAAAAGAAGTGTTTTGAGTAAAAAAAACTTATTTCTGCATTCACATAAATATTCAGTCTTCAAACCAGACCACGAGAGGGGTTAGAACCCGCGATTTCATGACGATTTCGTAAGTCATATTCAGTCTTCATTCACACAGAATATTCACCTCTCTCGGTAAAGCCTCATTCAGTCTTCATTCATTTTTCAATACTCATTTACTGTTGTTGTAGCCAGAGCATTGTAAATATTTGCTGTTGTTGTGACCAGGAGGCCTGGTCACAGACCGGGCCGCGGGGGCGTTGACCTCCGGAACTCTCTCCAGGTAAACTGCAGAGCAATGTAAATATTTGCTGTTGTTGTAGCTAGAGCATTGTAAATATTCAAACAGTGCTTGGGATGTCAGTTTACACTCAGGACATAACTAAGGAAGGTAGCAGGTTGATTTTTTTCTGTTATTCACAACATGAGAAGAGTCTTCAATTGATTTACGTAAAGCTTTTGATACAGTTGACCATGATTTGCTGCACATAAAATTATCACACTATAGTATAAGAGGGCACTCCCTCAACTACCTAAAGTCTTACCTCAGCAACAGAAGCCAATATGTGTACACAAATGGAGCAAACTCTTCCACACAGCCAATTACAGTTGGTGTCCCACAGGGAAGTGTCCTTGGCCCTCTTCTCTTTCTCATTTACATAAACGACCTACCAAATGCATCGCAACTACTCAAACCCACACTATTTGCAGATGACACTACATACGTCATCTCTTACCCGAGCCCAGTCATGCTAGCCAATACTGTAAATACCGAATTACAGAGAATATCTACCTGGATGATGACTAACAAACTTACTCTCAATTTTGAGAAAACCTACTTCATACAGTTTGGAAACAGAACTGCAGATGTCCCTCTTAACATAATGATAAACGGATCACCTATCACAAAGCTCACAGAGGGAAAATTCTTAGGAATCCACCTTGATAATAGACTCAAATTTCAAACACATTTACAACAAATTTCCAAGAAAATCTTCAAGACCGTAGGCATACTATCGAAGATACGGCCAGCCCTCCTGGCCCTATATCACTCACTTATTTATCCCTATCTCGCCTATGGAATATGTGCATGGGGCTCAACAACAATAAACCATCTCAGACCATTAATTACCCAACAAAAGGCTGCAGTCAGAATGATAACAAATTCCTACTACAGGCAGCACACTCCACCAATATTCAAAACTCTAAACTTACACACCGTACGAAACATCCATACTTATTACTGCACCTACTACATACGTAGAACACTTAACTCTGATATAAACCCTCCCCTCAAACATCTCCTTACCAACCTCAACAGAACACATCACCATACCACAAGGCACAGATCACTCTTTGATGTTCCACGTGTCCATCTCACACTATGTAAAAACGCAATGCACATAAAAGGCCCAAAAATCTGGAATTCATTACCTGTGAATATAAAAGAAATGCTGTCTGTTTATCAATTCGCGACCTGGAAATTTTGAGACTCTGACCGCGGGTTCTATCCCCTTCCGTGGTATGATTTATAAAGCTTCTTATTTGAAATACTGATTTGTACTTCATGTTGTAATTATTTTACTGTAATTTTTACCAATGAATATCATTGCTTAGTTAATCTTAAGTTAATTTTAAGCTGCCATAATGTTCTGCATACAAGGGGATTTTGGAAGGTGCACTCAACTACTGTATTTATTTTGTACAACTATGTATCATGTCCCAATAATAATAAATAAATAAATTATAAAGAAGCTATGTTCTGTGTGTTTGTTACTTACCATCTGTTGTTTGTTACTTACCATCTGTTGTTTGTTACTTACCATCTGTTGTTTGTTACTTACCATCTGTTGTTTGTTACTTACCATCTGTTGTTTGTTACTTACCATCTGTTGTTTGTTACTTACCATCTGTTGTTTGTTACTTAACATCTGTTGTTTGTTACTTAACATCTGTTGTTTGTTACTTACCATCTGTTGTTTGTTACTTAACATCTGTTGTTTGTTACTTAACATCTGTTGTTTGTTACTTACCATCTGTTGTTTGTTACTTACCATCTGTTGTTTGTTACTTACCATC